TCCCGAAATAATTTTTGGCGGGGGCCGAACGTTGTCCCGTTCGGACCCCGTACGGGACCCCGAACACCCGTACGTACGGAGGTCGGCCCGGGGAGCTCCGTACGTAAGGGCTGGTGACCCTGAAAACGTGAATATAGTTCAAAGGTCTATGCATGCGCGGACTCGCGATGTGGTTTAGTTAGAGGCAGATCATGCAGGCGCACATATACGAAGGAACTTACTCAGTCGTGCGTATTCACGAGCTTACAAGATCTGTCTATGACAGGCTGGGAGACCGTCTGCCTCATACTTTTGACGAATCTGGACTACACATGCATCCTTCCTCAATCACCACTTATCCTTCACAACTCCGTGTGTTCGAAACATCTAATCAAACAACCCACTTTGACATGCCAAAGAGAAGATGGGGACCATCATTGAGTTCATGCAGCCATATGATCTAGTAAAACATTTACAATTTCGATCACAACCTTTCCGTAATCGACGCAATGATAGACTTGCACCCTTATCTTCCTAGAAAAAAAAGGCGAGAGAGGAAGAGACAAATCCATACATCATCGTCATACAAGAGGGAAGAGGAAGAAGAAGGGTCGTAAACAAAATGGCCAGTACCGAAAACAAAAATTATACTGAAGGGGCAAATAGAACCAGAAGAAAAAACATCACTCCAGCATCTCTCTCTCTCTCTCTCTCTCTCTCTCTCTCTCTCTCTCTCTCTCTCTCTCNGGGGGGGGGGTTGGAGCCGGGGTTGGGGGTGCCCACCCCCAGACCCCCGCCGGGGCCCTGGGGCCGGGGCTCGACAACCCTGCCTATGATCCACTGTACTTATTGCTCCCCTGCACGCTTCACATAGGTAGGTATACTCTCCTCACATAGGTATTGGAATCTTAGTACGAAAGGGAGGTAGTGTTTTAATAGGTGGGATAGTGGTGACACTTTCATATGCTCTGCAATATCGATACTCTCCAGGAGCACGTGGGGGTATAGAGGGATAATGATGAAATTTCAGCACACGCATTCTTTGGTCAACCACCCTGTAAATTGGGTGGCTTCAATGCGCCCAATCCTCGTAATTATGAAATTTTATGAGTTACAGGATATTCGTTACCTTGGGATCAAATTGGTTATTGGATAGTAAAAATTGTGACTGGTGTACCGGAAGCAATTCCTATAGTGGGATCGTCATTAGTAAAATTGCTTCGTGGAAGCGTGAGTGTTGGACAATCAACTTTAACAAGTTCTACCGTCAAACAATTGATTTTTCCTTGGTGTGTCTGGTTCAAAAATCCAATTATGACCTGTCATTTGTTTAGCTTGATATAGTTTTGAAAATGCTAGTTTCCTAGAAGCTTCTCATTCATGTCTCTCATCGAAAGGCATAATTCTATACTGTTGTTTTTAAGATTCTCCAACTAAGCCTAATAAGCATTCGAATAGGAAAGAACAAATTTTCTTGATTATTGGGGGTTCATGTCAATAATTTCGTTTTGCGAGTAAGTATGTTTGTTCACACACTCTCTCTCGCATTGTCTTTCTTGGACAAGCAACATTTATCTAGGTTCAGTAAAACTAGTCTGGCACCAGTTCAACTCTGGGTAGCATCTGAATCAGTCGTCCAATCTGGGATTTGAGTGATTTCAAATTATGCTTATGCCTTTCTGGTTTTCAGTGGTTTTTGTAGGTTGTACCAACGAACATCCTATGTTGTAGAAGCAATAGTTGTCCCATAATTGAGCCATGTTCAGATAACAGTATCATCAGTACAAGGCCACTATGTGGGTTTCATTCTTCACGTTATTCGGTTTTCTTTAAAGTCAGGGATGGTAGCGAGATCTGTAATACTGACATTTTTTTTTGTCTCTGGTAAACTTTACATGGTTTACGGTCTTTTCGTTTATCTTTCCCTCTCTCTCTCTCTCCTCTCTCTTTTCTCTCCTCTTTCTCGCCTCCCCTCATTGAACGAACCACATGACGTTCTGTGATGAGAATGATCTAGCAAATATGATAGCGTGTATTGTAGATCGATGCCTCTGATCCTCTGTCTCCAATACTGTCATGGTCTCTTGCTCTCTTCGCATTTAGTTCACAAAAGGGAGACGTACTCTTCTCTATTAGGAATTGAAATATTGGTATGGTCTAGGGTACGGGGGATAATGGTAATTATGTCTATGCTCTACACTCGTACTACTCTCTATGAACATGCAAGGGGATGATGACTCTGTTTTCTAAGATTAATTCTTAAATTATCGGCATGACCGATTCACTATATGAACTTCAACACTTAATAGATGGTACACGAGGCGTCCAACTTTGCCCTTGTGATAGCGCACGCTAGAGTACGACCTGATATCTGAACCGTCCGAATGCCCTGATTACCTCTCTCATTTAGGATACCATGGATATCCAATTACACAACCGTGCAGCCATCCTGGAGAGAATTGTTATTATCGAGAAACGTATTGCGTTGCTTAATGATGTCCTGATAAAAAGAGGTGATCCCCCATCCATCTGCCTTGATTATCACTATGAAGTCCCATCGGGTGACGACTATAATGAAGTCAGAGAATGGGCTGCTGCCTCGATCTTCTCGAAAATTTATAGTGATCATCGCTCCTTGCTAAAAGATTTCGAGGAAAGTATACAACAAATTAGGATCCATGAGCCTAGGGCAAACATGGCACTCAACACAGAAATTAACAGACTCAATGAAGCCATATATCACAGCATCAGACCTAAGACAGACCCAACTTTCCTCCTGATTAGGAAACTGCTTGTCATCCTACTTCTGCTCTCATTCTACACTACTCTCATTATGATCGTCACACAAGGGAACATGGCCTGATAGGAATCCTCGTCCAGAGCAGCATCGTCTTTTTTTCAACATATGTATGAATGGCGTTCCTTGAATAAGGCGGGGATACGTAGCATCTGGACAAAAGAAGGACAAAGTGCTTGATATTGGAAGCTACGTGTAAGACCGGATGCAGCCTATAAACCTATAGCCTAAACAGTCGTACCACAACTTGCTGTGGGGTTCTTGGCGTTTTGTGCCATGGGGTAACGTATTGTAATACACGCACATAAATACTAATCGTCCTTGCAAAATAACAATACTATATATATATATATATATATATATATATATATCGTCACAAATAGAACTGCCCGGTAAACCGTAGGCAGAGAGAGAGAAGAGGATAACAAACAAGGGGCTGTGACATATATATATATATATATATATATATATATTTCATTCCTTGTTTTGTTTCCTTATTACAAAAAAAAATAAAAAAAATCGAAGAAGACAACGAACTGCCAACCAAAAAAAAATTAAAAAAAATGGGCAGTACTGAAAGCAAAAATTATGCAGAGGGTTCAAAGAAGCCCAGAAGAACCCCCACTACTCCAGCCTACCACTCTCTCTCTCTCTCTCTCTCTCTCTCTCTCTCTCTCTCTCTCTCTCTCTCTCTCTCTCTCTCTCTCTCTCTCTCTCTCCGTTCCTCCGATGTGGGCAATCCGTTGCCTCACACCTTTCGACACCACAGAGTTGTCACCCCGCTTGGTCCAAACCTGCAAGCCAAGTTCGCCCGTGTGCCACAGTCCTTTGCAGCCCCATGTCAACCCCGCATACTCAGCACCAGCCCGTCGGATCGCCCGACTCCCTACTCACCGTCTTGCTCCTGCTTGTTAGCCGATCTCCTCGACCGCACTAATTCCAAAGTTTGATTAGAGAGAGATTTAGTCGCACTTGCAAAATTTATAGTGCTTAGCGTCCATGCGAGATACCCGAGATTGCGCTGAAGTGGAGGGGAAGAGGGAGTGCCTACAACAACATGGCTCGCCCGCGTCGTGGGGGTGGTAACCACTCTTCGCGCATCGATCCAGTCATGCATTGTCCTGGCCAATGAGACAAAGAGAAGAGAGGGTGCACAAGAAGGTCAAGAAGGGAAGGATTACAGTTACACCACGCTTGCCAAGAAGAGATTTCAGTTGCGCATAAAATTAAGGCGTGGAGGGGACAGAGTGCAAGACAGAATGCAGCACAATGCGCGCGAGTAGGAGCATCGTACAATGACCTAATTAAATTCCTAATTGTTAGAGAAAATTCCGAGAATTTGCATAAGTTCAAAATTCAAGAAGAAATTCAAAAAAAGAAAAGATTCCCTGCGTGGTGATCACGCCAAAAATTCCCCGCCTAGTTCCGTCATCAAAAAGAAAGAAAGATTTTGCGTCAGCCGTTATTTTCCACGCCTGTTATGGCGTGGTTTACCAACCGCCGTGGGCCCAACTTTCCCGAAAGAATAGGGGCATTGGTGCAATTGGGCCTGGCCCCTTCTTCTCCACCCCCTCCACTCATCTCCAACCCCCTGAGTACGATTGCGCAGAAGATGGCGCTCATCGTGAAAAGAGATCGTCACATATGTGACGCCCAAAAGGTTCCAATCTTGTGCAAGCTCATGCTTGCACACACAATTGCTAACGATCCCGTCGAAGAGAGATAGAAGCAGCAGCATGCGATGTCGAACTTACACATGTCAATTACCGTACGATAAGAGTGTGGACGTCATCCATATGGCACATGTAAGTTCCGTCCCGGATCTATGGGTTACCAAGGAGGGGCAGCCTTATGACAGGAGGAGGAGGAGGAGCGTGGGCTTGCGAAAGAGGGGTCAGAAAGCGTCGCAGCTCCCGATCTCCGGTGGGAAGCCGAGTTTAGTGGATGGTGCAATGAATGCGGGGGAAGCGGTGATCCTGATGCGGAAGCGAGGCCACGTAGTCAGGATAGAGGGTACAAAGGGTGCGGGGGATGATGACGCGAAAGTCTTCGTAATCATGGCACGAGGGGATAGTTCTCGTGATTATACAGTAGACTTCTATATTATTATAATCACTCCATGCTACACTAAAGAGAAGGATATGGAGATGGAAAGGAGTTACGAGAGAGCGGGTGGTCGGATATGGGAAGACGGTGGCTATGAGTCGGGAGGAGTAGAGTTGATAGAATAGGGAAGGCGGAAAGTGGTGCCAGCTGACAGGGAATGGGGGACAGTGTTCAAGTTGGTGGAGGGTGAGGTAATCAACGGGACGGCGGGATAATGACCGGGGATGAAGCCCGAGCGCCCGCATCTCCACGTATGCGAATGGCGGGCCGTGGCGGAGTGGATTGAGGCGGTGAAGGGCTTCTTCCTCTTCGTCTGCTGCTAGATCCCTCTGCAGTGGCGACACCATCTCGCTCGGGATCCTCCTGTGGTGGCTCCGGATCTCGTGTGGGGTCACCTTGTAAAACCAGCGTCGATAAACTGGCCGATTGGTTCACGGGCCGCTTCCCCTCCGCCTTCTCTCGCCTTCTCTGCGCGGTTGCCTCGTCCTCCTCCTCGCTCCTCCCACTTGAACTGCTTCGCTCTCCCGACTCACTCTCACTGTGCTCGCTGTAGTCGGGGTCGCTGGACTCTACCTTCGAACTCTCCTCTTCTTCCTCTTCTTCTTCTACATTCGCACGCGTCCCGATTCGATGTCAGAGGCCGAGATTGGTTATATCATCTGCGACCAGGTAATCACCCGTTGAGGGATAATAGCGATTGCCAGCGTCAATCTCAGAGCAAGGCGACCACAGCAGATGAGGCGCGAGAGTTTGTGTCAGAGTGATGCTCGTCGCAGTGACAGAGGATGTTGAGCGGTTGATCGTCGAGGAGCTGCGCCAGGAACACCAACAATTCACCCGCAATCGGCTCCAGACGATCTATTCCCACTTTTCCGAACAGGACTCCCAGGAACTCGCCCTCCGTATCTGTCCTCCACGCCTGGATTACCATCAGCTCCACGTCGGCGTTGGGGATCTCGTCCTTATCGGCCCCGACCGGCTGCTCAGCCCAACGGAATGTAACCCGGATTAAGTAGAAGTTGAGCGCCATATAAGCATTCCACCAATCTCTCCACTTGGCTGCTTCTAGGATTGGAACGTCTAACTGCTCGATCCGAAAAGACAGGTGGGCAACGATGGCGGATTGCCAGAGAATGGGGAAGTCTGAAGGGAGCCCAAAAGTCGAGAGACGGTGCCGGTTCATTGAGGCTGCGCAAAAGGAATAAGCTCTGGAATGAACACCTTTGGCGTCGTCCAGTGAATTCGGATATGGCTCACCTCGACGTCGTTAGTGTCACTGATCCGATCTCCAGGCTGCGCTAGAAGTCGTGTCCGTGCGGCCGTAATATCCCGTGACCAAATCCGCAGCTGTCAAAGAATACCCGTGTGGGTCCCTTCGTGCAACATCGTAAGATCGTCGCGGAAGGAGACTACCACAGACACGTGGCTGGCGCTGGGCGTTGACAATCGCAAGAAGGCCGATGCCTCGGCCAGTACCCGTGCCCTGTCACAGATACGAACAAATCAAAATTTTGTCGCCGCGTGTATAGCCGCCGTACTGAAGAAAGCCGCAAACCGGAGAAGATCCAGGGTCAACCTTGGATGCTGCACTTACCGAATGGACGAGATATGTCCCCCAGGTCTCAACAGACGCTCACTGATTACCTGCTCCATAGAAAAGCTCATGGCGAAAGGGGACAGAGAGAAGGTGAAGGCCAAGAAGAGGGAGAAGAACAGTGTTTAGGATCGTCGCTCTCCCACTCAGAGGTTGGAGGCGAGCCAGAAGGCGAGAGAGACGAAGACATGGGCAAAGTTTGAAGATAGGACACAAGGCGGATGATTGGCCTAGTCGACCGGCTCCCCAACACCTTCGGAGCAAGGCGCACCGTGTTCACTCCGTTAGGACTGAGCTCGACTATGCGGAACCACCCGAAGAATCGTGGCACTAACTTGCCCTGGCGAGCACATTTCCTGACCTACACGATGTCCCCTAATTTACACTGAGGTCGAGGCCCAACATTCAGATTTCGGCCTTCATAGCTCCGGACTTGTCGGTTGTGGGCCATTTCGGTCATTCGCTGTCTTTTTCAGGCTAACTGAGGGAGGGTCTTTTCCATTAATTCCAAATGGCGCTTGGCATTTTCTTTAGTTGTTGCCCTCGTACATCGCGGTCCCAATGTCGTGTCATCGTCCAGTCTAGGCAGAGCTACGCAGACTAGGCTATTGGTTTGTCATTGAAACGGGTCATGTCGGTAGACTCATGAGGTGTCCCCCGATGGACGCCCAGGATATGATCTACTATGTCAGGCCAAGGCCTCGTGTCTCTAGCCGCGATATTCCGCCGAAGGGCGGTTTTGATCACTCGGTTGGCGTTCTCTATGAGGCCGTTCGATTGTGACATATGAGGGGTGGTGTTTCGAATGGAGACACCATGTGTAACCAGGCTCCTCAAGACTTCTCCTCGAACTTCTGCTCCATTGTCCATTAGGATCTCCTCGGTGTCCTGATGCATCCCGAGGAAACGGTTGACATATCACACAATTTCGATTGTCTGTCGCGTTTTGCATGGATACACCTCGATCCATTTAGAGAAATGATCTACGAATACAAGAAGGACCGAATATTCACAATTATTCATCCCAGGGGGAACAACAATGTCTGTTGTATCCATACTAACCCTTTGAACAGTCGTTCGACTGTCGTTGGCACGATGGATCTAGGTGGCTGAATCGGCGCTTTATCCGCCGCACAGACTGGACAATTTTTGACGATGAATTTTACATCGTCCCTAATATTGGACCAATACCATTCGTTCTTGTCAATGGCCGACTCAGTAATCCAGACAGCAAAATGAGCGGCCGTTTCCTCATGGGCCGACCTAACCTAGTCATACCTCATAAACAGATGAGGTACTGACATCCAAATCCCACTCCCGTCTGTTTTCCACTTTTCTAATCCTCCCTCGTTCCACCTATAATCGTGTGCCCTCTCGTTGGCTCGCCTCCGATCTTTTTGGGGAATTCTCGAAGAGAGTTTCCAACAACTGTAGCTATCAGGACGACATTTGCCCATACCTTGGCATGCCAAAATCTGCGTGTCTTTTCTCGGTTCGACACAAGGGACACAACCACACCTTGTCCATGTTTCTACGCTAAATGCAGGACCCATGGGCCCTAGAGACACGCCGCTCACAATCTACCCAATCTACTTACCCTTCTGCACTGGGTGCATAGGGACCGAGTAAACCCGCGAGATTGCCTCGCAGAAATAGCAAAATTTGTCAGGTAAGGAGAGAAAAGAAGAAGAATCAGGAGAGAGGGGAACCTCATGGGTGCCTTCCCCATTTACTGCCATGAAACCACGTGTCACGTCCCTGTCTATTGATGGAGAACTTTCACCTTGCCGTACGTCGGTCCTTTTGGTGGCTCTAACTCTTTCCACGGTGTGATCTCTTCCCCACGCAGTACCCTGCCTGGTCGGTGCAATCGGGTCAAACCATCCACGTTCCCGTGTTTCTCCGTCTTCTGGTGAACAATATCGAAGTCATACTCTTGCAGCCTCACCGCCCATCGCTCGATCATCCCCGTGTAGTTGGTGAGCTTCTTGAGTGCTAACAATGGCTCATGATCCGTTATGAGGAGGAATTTTTGTCCGTATAGGTAGCGGTGGAAGTGCTGAATTCCCTAGACCACCGGATAACATTCCCCCGAAGGCGCCGAATCATTCCTTCGTTCGTCCAACACTGTCCGAGATGCGTACTCGATGACATGTTCTCGGTCGTCATTTCCCTTCAACGCCAGAATAGCAGAGATCGCTTCGGGCTGCCAGTCTTTAATGAGCAAGAATTGCTTCTTGGGATCGGGCCTAAAAAGAACGGGTGCCGAAGCCAGAGCATTTTTCAGTGTGGAAAATGCATGCTCGCACTCCGCATCCCAACTCAGTGGCTGGTCCTTCTCCAGGAGGTTTGTCAGAGGCCGAGCGATTGTTTTGAAGCCCTTGATAAATCGTCGGCAGTACGAGGCCAGTCCCAAAAAGGCTCAAACCTGCGTTAGTGACGTAGGTGTGGGCGCTTCTCAAACTGCCTCGACCTTCCTCGAGTCTGGTCTCAAGCCCCCTTGGGTCACCATGTAGCCCAGGAACAAGATCTCGGAAAGGAAGAATTCACTCTTTTCCAGCACAATCTTGAATCTCGCGTCCCGCAGTGCTCCGAGTGTCCATTTGATGTGCTATGCGTGCCTGTGAAACGACTCGGAATACACCAATACGTCGTCCATATACACGATGATGCAAAAGTCGATCATTCCCTGCGTCAGCCGAGTCTTGTTAACAAAATTATGAAAGGTAACGTTACCACGAATCCATTACCACGTGCCTTCAAACAACACAAACGCCGTCTTTAGTCGGTCCTCTTCCTTTACCAGAATATGATGGAACCCGTGTCGAATGTCAAACTTGCTAAAATACTTGGCACATCCAATCGCATCCAACAGATCATCAATCCGGGGCAAGGGGTACACATCTTGAATCGTGATGTCATTCAATTTTCGATAATCAATGCAAATGCGAATCAACCCATTCTTTTTCGGGAACAAAACTACCGGAAAAGACCATAGACCCATGGCGGGCTCAATCCAGCCGTTTGCTTCGAACTCTCGGATACACTCTAGTGCTGTTTTTCTTCCTGCAAGCGAATATCGGTACGGTTTGCAATGTATAGGTGGGTGCACTCCTGTCTGGATTTCATGCTGAATTACTAGGGACATCCCAATATCTGCATCATCGACGCTAATCGCCCCGTGGCTTCCATTAGAATATCTGCAATTAGCCAGTGGGTTTCGCCAGGCACATATTCAGGCACGTAAAATCCGTAGGGCTGTCCGTGAATTGTGGCTTCCACTTGCTTAGTGTGAACAGTCCTGGCGTCCTTTGGTAAGGGAGACGAGATAAACGAATTCTCCGATCGCCAGGAGAATACCGTGGCCACCATCTGGGCATGGTACTCTAGGCCACATTTCACAGCTATCCCTGCAGGCTTCCAAATTGCAGACAAATCCCCCTGTGGAGCACTGAAAGCCATGAGGTAACCATATCCTTTTTTTTTTTTTCCTCCTTTTTTTAAAAAAAAATTGGACCATTTCTTGATTTATGCGTGTCATCCTTGCGCAGGGGCCATGTTAATCTTCTCTGTATCGTTCCAATTTTAACGGATGTCCCTAAGGACAGTGAGGTAACCATATCCTGATCCAGAAACTACATTAAAATTCGTTCCTGCAAGAACATACTTACCCATCCAGCCCATGTGGCTGCGAGGTACACCCATGTAGCTGATGATAAACAGACCTGAGTTGGAATCCGGATGGAATCAGATTATGATTCAGATGAGTACAATAACTCTGCATTACCTGGGGCGGTCTGTTCGGTGACGATACCTCAAGGGCGTTGCCCTTTAAGAAGAACAAAAAAGAACATGCTTACCCCTGTGCTGTACCGAAATCATGAACTATCCCTCCAAGTTCATCACTTACAGGTAAAACACGCCAATCAAGCAAGCACTTGGGCAGCCCAAAACCTATGGATCTTGTCAGCAAAATGCGGGCATCCCAAAACATATCATAACAGAAGCGAT